CAACTTGATTGGGGCATAGCATGCAATATAGTTGTTCGTTGTTGGGCAATAGGTTGCAATTTGCCGAATGGGAACACCATAACACCTAACAAGTCTCATATTATTTCTATCCTGAAGGTCATTCTCATGATTAGGAAATTGTGTATCTGACTCGTCTAGGCATGTGGCGATATGTTCGTGTCTAGTATTTTGATCGTGGAAAAACTTGTTAAGAGTCTCGGTGAGTGAGGTGATTTGTGATTATATGTCATTTTGTGAATTATCCATAGTGTTCCTAAAAGTCCTACCACTGCATAGGATGAATAGATCAATCCTAGGCTCTGATACCAAATATGAGGAACTAACTGAGAGCTTTAACCTAGAGGCGAGAAATCGTCAACAACTCAGCGAAATGAGGTGTAATCCACGATAAACAATAATTGTTGTTACTATCCATAGATGAACAACATATTTACTGTTCACAAAATGAACAATATCCTGAGTAATGGTATTGGGTTTTTTTTTGGGTTTTGGGGGCTATTTGCTAGCCGGACAGGGGGAGCACTGATTGCAAGTTGTGAATTAAAAGAGGAAGGCATTGGGATTTATAAAGAGGAGAGATTTGATAACTAGCTAAGCTTCACACCTAGGGGCCTAATACCTAAGGATTTTGCACACCAAAGAGGAAAATCACATATCAAGAACACCTCACATGCTGAAGAGAGAATTCTCATATCTCAACACTTTTTATTAATCAATGTATGCCTTCGCAAGAGGCTTAATTACATACTTTATTTAAAAGAAAAAAAAATGACAACAATCTTTCTAAGAAACATAATAAAAATCAAATAAGCATCATTAAAAAATTCTCATAAAAGAAAGAAACTAAAAATCCTAACGATCCAATCTAATCTCTAGGAATATCATGAAAATCCAATCTAATCTCAAAGGATCAAACTCAATCTCTGGGAAATCCTCCAAATCTTAAAACGTGATTCATATTTTTCTTTTTTTCTCGCATAAACTTTCCATGGAATCTCATCACTTTGCTAGGCAACCCAATGCATTCGTCGTTATCCAATGGAGGAGGAGTAGATGGTATCCTAATTTTAACAACCTATTGTTTGATCAGATTAGACAACTGAAACAAGACCTACTTACACTTCTAGTTGATTAGAAATCTAATAATGATAAGCAAGATGTGCCGGTTTGGTGATGAGAGCCCAAGAAATCTTTCACGGTTAGGTCCATGTATAGATTTTTTTTTAATTTTGATGGGTATAAATCAGCAATGACTAAGTTGGTATGGACCTCTAGAGCACCTATGAAAACTAGAGCGTTTTTGTGGCTCTCCATTAGAAATGTTATCCTGGCATGAGACAACCTGATGAAGTTTTGGTGGTAGGGACTAATGTTCGCTATTAGAGGAAGCAAGGGATGAAGCTATTGCACGATCGGCTCATGCCGATTTACATAGTCATTGTTGGCCTTCTTATTTTGATGATGATTTACAAATAATTTACTTCTAATGTTGTTTGTCTAGTGTTTGTGTTTTTATATCAATTGTAGACAAACAATATGTTAGAGGGTGGATGGAATTACGCATTCACGATCATATCCAATGGAGGTTGGCGGAATTATAGAGTGAAGCATTGCAATTCAAAGTTGAAGATCCAAGTTCAAGCTTCATCCGCAAGTGTACCAAGATAGAGCTTCGTTGAAGATCACAAGCTTGGGTATATGTAGTTTAGGTTCTTATATTATGTGTGTTAGTACTTTAAGCTCAATCATATATACACACACATTATATTGGTTTCCTTGTATATATATATTTATATATATATACAACACAAGTTTTGGTTTATATATATATATATATATACACACACACACACAATTTAGTTTTTGGTTTCCATGTATATATAGTTTCATATATACATATATGTTTGGTTTCTATGTATATATATAGTTATATATATACATACATAGTTTTGAATTTTTATGTTTATAAATATGAGACTACATATTTCATATTTATTATTGTGTTTTGGTTTAACTATATAGATATGAAACAAATATACATTAATATATATCCTCATATGTTTCATACTCTATTATGTTTAAATATATATTGCATAGAATATGCAATTTTGTGATAATATTGATTTCTTAGTATATGGACTTAACAATAATGATATACATATTCTATTAAGTCTATATAATTATTTTGTATTGTTTCAAAACATAGTTTAGTCAAAATGTCAAAACATGTATGTTTAGTTTTCATGTTTTTGGACTATTTTGCAAAATGATAATTTTTTACAAATGTGAAGTGCAATTCCAAAAATTCTTTTTGTAACATGTTTATTTACATGTTTATAAACATTTCCCAAAGTTTCATAATTTTTGGAATTTATTCGCTATTTTTAAAGGCGCTTCAAAGTTGAGTTTTTTTCTGTGCATTTCAGGTTTTTGCACGTCTAAGTTGACTCATAAGTCGACTCATGAGTCGACTCATAAGTCGACTTATGAAGTGCAGCCCAGTTGTGTTTTTTTTCTGCTGAGTCGACTCATAAGAAGACTCATAAGTCGACTTATCAGAGAGCCGTTGCACAGTAACGGCTAGTTTTCTGATTTATTTGTTTGTGGGTTTTTGGTCTTTTCCTTAGGATTTTTGCTGAAGTTTTGAGTGGGTATAAATACCACATTGCTCTCATCTTTCATTACAACTAATAAAATATTTTAAACAAGTTTAAAAGAGTTTTAAATAAGGGTTTAAGTTTGTTTAATGTTTGTTTGGAAGCTTTTAAGCAATTGAGGGTTTGAGTTTGTGAATTCATTTTCACAAGAGCTTGAGGAGATCATCTATTAGAGTTTGAGCAATCAACTATTTTCCCTCCATGTTTTGTTATCTATTGAGAAGTTTTCTAAACTCATTTCTAGCTTTATATTTATTTGTTCGATTATCATCTTATTAAAGCTAGTTTTATATTGAGTTTAGATTTGATTAATCTCATTTTTACACACACCCACTTGAGCTTATTGTATTTGCATTCATAATATATTTGGGGTTGTGAGAGATAGTAACATTGAGTTGAGACTAATTGAGTTCTCACCTTGTTTAGAGAACAATCATTTGTTGTGTGCCTAATTGTGTAAATCACTTTGTAATACACTTATACACCGAGAGGAGTGTGTGGTGGGGACATAGTCGATACCGAGAGGAGTGGCGTCAGTGGCCTAGTGAGAGGTGATAATTCCGAGCACTTGAGGGAGTCAATACGTGAGGATCAACACTTGAGGTTGTAGCTTGTGTATGTACATTGTGAGGATTTGTGAGAGTTGTCGGTTGACTTGATAACCGAGTGTGTAGAGTTTTCGGTTAGCTAGAAAACCGTATTGTGAGGTGTAAACGTTTTTCGAGTAAGCGTAGAAAACCCGATGTGATAGTGGAGATCTCCTCGAGGTGAGGAGCGGGGACGTAGGTCGTGGGGACCGAACCTCGTGAACATATCATTTGTTTGTGATTGCATTGGCGCACTCCTTTTTTGGGTTTATCATTATACCGCATTTGTCTATTGCTCATTGTTTATTTTGCCTACTATCTCATTTATCTTGTTTTGTTTCCCCCTGTGTTTGTTTCATATCCTTGCATAGTTATTTTGTTACAAATCATATTTGCTAGGATATTTGTTAGTAAGTTTTAATTGGCATAAAATCGGATTAGATTAGCATAAACCCTATTCACCCCCCTCTAGGGTTCTTTCATAGCGACCTTAGGGTCTATTAGTCATGTGCACGATGATCACGATGATCGCGATGATCGACAGGTTGTAGGGCATGATGCATCACGGGCGATCATGAGGGTGACTCTGATAGCGAATAGTCTCTTATCTGGCTTATGCACTCTTCTACCAAGCTTCATTACTAGTATTTTACCCATATGGCATTTTGTATGATTTTGATATTTTGTGAGGGAGAGCTATGTTTTTTATCTATATGTTTCGTTAAAATCTTTTTAGTGAAATGCGGGGGATCTCCCACCATTTTTATAATAATAATATAATAATAATAATAATAATAATAATAATAATAATAATAATAATAATAATAATAATAAAGTACCATGTCTAAGTAAACAATGTTAATTTTTAAGTTTTTACTATAATATCTAAAGTTAATTCTTAAATGTTATTTGTAGCCCTTTTTGTTAATTTTAAAATTTAAATATTAATTTTAAAATTTTAAATGCTAGCTTTAATTGTTAAGTATTAACTGTGGTATGTTTTTAGAAAATTGCTATTTTAGCCGAAGGACATGGACTTTAGGGGATACGGCAATAAATGCGAAAGAGAGACTGTAGTGGTGAAAGAATAAATGTTTGAGAAAGGATGAGAAGGAAAAGGAGGATGCAATTGTAGAGATAGAGGAGGAGGGAGGAGGAGGAGGAGACAGCGGAGAAAGGAGCTAAAAGAGGGCATAGTGGAAGAGGAGCAAAGAGTTGGGAGGATGAAGATGAGAATTTTTTACGACCAAAATGCTGAAGATAAGGACATTTTGGAAAAATAAGTTGGGCATGTTGCGAGGGATTAAAACCAAGAGAATTATGGTCAAGTAGTTTTTACACGCATGACCTTTGTCAAGGAGACTGGAAATGACTAAAAGTTCGTCAGATGGAGCTAGAACCAATGAAGAAAGGTATCTATGGTCGCTCGCTTGGTATCCTCTTGATATCGGGAAAAGGTTGGGGTTTGACATTCAATATAAGCTTGTGGTATGAGAAACCCTTCATTTAATTTAATTTAAAACCTTCAATAAAGTTTTGTTGCTTAATCCGGCTTCGATACCTCCAGTACAAAATACTCAACTGATATTGACATATTGAATATTCCTCTCCAATGGAAAGTAATAATAATAATAAAAGAAATTTTTTTTAATCTGAACCATATATATTTTATGCTGAAATTCTAATACGAATTACACAAAGAAGCACATATGGACAGAATTATTGCCATTGGAAATAAACCAACAATACTGAAACAAGTAACATAAAAGTGATAAATACCCAGCCACAAGCATTCATACGCAAGAATCACATAGCTCTAATACTGGTTATTCCATAACATCGTCTTTATATTATTCCTTCTTAATATTGAGGTTCAAGACACACAAGCTATAGTAACCTCAAAGTAAGCCCTCATGGCTCAAATTCCGGAAAAGGAAATTGCAAGTCTTAAGTTCGATGTAGGAATTATCAGAAGGCTCGTCCAGGAGAACATCAGCAGCAAATTCCTCTATATCATAAATTGTGTCTTCCTGTAAATCATTAAATAGAAACTGTTAGATAGGCCAAAGGCAAACTGCGAAATATGAATTTACAAACTCTGGTTAGGGGGAGGGAGGGGAAAAAAGAAAACTCAAGCTTTTGAATGAAGTAGCAAATCTGGTTACAAGCATATCATGGTTCATAAATATTAAAAAGACCACAATGTAAAAAGTGCTACTAGGACTTTTAATCTGCGTTATCCGAGTACTTCCCGAGTACTATCGTGAAGCCATACCCATACCCAGCATGTACCCGATACTTACATGTACCCACATTTTATGGACACTCCTTGGTATATGCATATATCTATTTAGACAAGTACTTAATTATATGATATGTGTAAACTTAAGACATTTGTCAAACATTTTTCGGATGTATATCCTTCACTTCATGCAGGTAAATGCAGGTAAATTTCCTTTTGAACAAGAACTACTGAACAAGTAATGTTCAAATAAAGAAATTATCCTGAAATTTTTATATGAAGAATTTTTCAAAACAGACCCGCTTCAACTTTTTTTTCTTAAAACCGACCCGTTTTTTTATTTATCAAAACCGACCCGATTTTGTAATTAGCAGCTTAATCACAGTCCTAAACAATCGGGGTTGGCAACCCCGACTATTTAGGACATTAAATTTTAGGGTTTAAGGCTTCTAATTAGGGTTTAACACCTTCCTAAATAGTCGGGGTTGCCAACCCCGACTGTTTAGGATGGTGATTAAGCTGCTAATTACAAAATCGGGTCGGTTTTGATAAAAAAAAAAAAAACGGGTCGGTTTTAAGAAAAAAAAGTTGAAGCGGGTCTGTTTTGAAAAATTCTTCTTTTTATATATAGAGTAGAATAACTTCTTTCCAGAACAGACAAAAGCTTAGGTAAAATTTCATATACAATCATTACTTTTTTAAGCGCAACATAAATTACTTCAATTGTTTTCCAAATATTTCTCTTACTAAAGTATGATAGGCACCTCTACAGATATATAATAACATGACATAGCACTTGTTATGTACTAAATTTTACTTTGTATCTCCTTTTTTATCACAATTTTGAGTATTCAAATATTTCTCCAATTATTTTGATATCCTATCAATTGCATACCTCTCAGTTTTAGGATTTGCAATGGCTTGGCACTGATTTAATAACCTTTTTTGTTCCAATGTATTCTACCCATGTATAGAATTTCCAAGTTAAAGAAGTATATGGTGTGAAGAAAGTGTTCAATAAATCATAAACATAGTAACTTTAGCATTACATTAAGATATGCACTAACTAGATACCGAAGTACTCATAATATTTTGCTGGTAAACGAAAAAGAGTATATATTCATAGACTGATAACTTACCATCATCTCCTGAAATAAACAATCCTCCTTAACAAGAACTTCCTCTGATGGCATATAGCTGTTATTGCCTAAGCTATGCGCAAATGCTTCAAATTCCCAGAAAAGATCTAACAAATTTATACTGGCAGTCCCAATGATTTGCATCAAGGCATAAAATTCCTAAAGATCTTCTATTATCTGCAAAAGAAAAATCTGGGTTGATCCTTACTATAAACAAGAGGAAAATACAATTAAATTTTATGAGATTTAATTAACTACATTATTGAATAAATATATCAATTGTTGGGGCTTTCAGAGGGACATTCTTAACTGAGTTCCTCAATGATTGGGAGCCCATGATAAAACATCATATACACCCTTAGATATTTGATAAAAAATAATATATAAATAATTGAATAAATCCATTTGAGTTTAAATATGTAACATATTACTAAAATTACATCAGTCTTGACCGCAAATTATATATTATCTCAAGTTTTATCAAACACACTTTACGGATGGTCTTAGTATGTGTTATGTATGATATTGCCACATTCTTTACTAACTATTTTCAATAATAGAGTCGATAATACAACTATGATATATCACAAGTTCTGTACAAATTTGGTTAAAGACCAAATTTTCTAGAGGACTAAGAAAATTTACTTAAATCTCTTCAATTGTTACTGAATGGCTGTCCAGATTTCCATCTTCACTGTTAGATCCCTCCTCATCCTGCTGAGCATTTGTCAATGGTGCCTCAGATTCATTTGGTTCAGGAACAATGCCAACCATTAGTAACCTCCTTACTTGTACCTGTAAGCAAGACCACATTAGTGTTTAAACATGAAAAAAAGAGTATAAAGTCATTCCTTATGCTAAAATAATGAATAAACGATTAGAATACCTTGCTTTGTTTGTCTGGTTATTTTTTTTTGGATTATTTGTTTTGACTTCACTAGGAGGTATGCAGTTTTTTATAGACCAATAGGTAAAGGACAATGAAGAGATTATGATTCACAATCAGTAGCTATTTCACGATAATGTATCTTAGGGCTTGTTCCGGAAGTTTTGCCTTACAATCAATACTTGAAGAAACTACCTCTGTTGTACATGAACGCAAAAACTGAGTGAATTTTGTAATGCACGTACACTAATTGTACGAAGAACGTGGAAGTATGGAATCTTGAGCGCATATTAGTGCATTAATTTTAATTCTTGAAGGAAAAAATGGTAACTTGATTCAATCAAAGGTATGATCCAATACGGCACCATAAGAGAGAATAACATTTTTTTTATGATAACTAGACCATCAAATATTTCAACTTTTTATCCAAAAGGAAAGGTATTAGGATAAATACAGGATCGAAAAATATTGAATTGTATTAATATTTTGAAACCTTGACATGTATTAGAAGTTTTATCATCGCAAGGAGGATTTTCAGGAGACAGATAAATGAAAATAACACAACAATTTGAAGTTCGATAATGATTAATATATTCTATCAAATAGTCCAGTGATGGAACTATATGGAGCATGGATATAAGAGAAAATTTTCATTCATTTGTCCACATCAATTTTGCTTATTTTTTGTACTTATTAAGGATTTTTTTTTTGGTATGCATCTTTAGAAAAACTTAAACAAGTAACTTCTAGCAGTTCCTAGAACCGTGTTAATGTTAGGATATCAGATTATCATGATACCATTTGCATTTCAATTCACCTGAGAATAATATCTCTAGTGAAATCACATTGCATATAATTAAGTAGAATTTAAATATAATGTCCGAAAGTCAAAGAATGCAAAAGGAAATAACTTCATCCATTGATCCTGGGTATCTGAAGGTGTAAAAGAAAATAGTTGATCTAAAATGAACTTATTTGACCATTCTTTCTGTAGTATAAGTTTCCGATTGTATATTGTAGTTTACCTAATAAAATATGGAAATCAAAGACATTATACATAAAATAGAGAAGTGTTCTAACTTTCATTCCTTCTCGACTTGCCAATCCCATTAGCTATCATTTAGGATACTGAATTCTACATAATATTGTAAAGAAAATTTCTAAAACTCATGAATAAATCATGTTACAGTTTGACTTGACAGAATGACATGCAGGACCAGCCACTTGCATTCCACCTTGAGGCCTTTGTCAGGCTCTAATTAGTCAGTGATTTTGAGTCTGATTTAGTCCAGATAAGTGTGATTCATTAACAAACCATACAAATCCAAATATATTTTATGTGGCTGAAAAACTATTTCCAAATGAATTCTAGTTAGTAAATTTTCTTCCGACAATGACAATTTTATCAAATTTCATTGTCATATGACCAAATAACCAGGATTTGGAAAATGTAAGATAAATTCTTCCAGATAGAAATTCCTTGATTTTTTTTAAAAATATATAACTTTTCTTATGATCATTTTTGCTCCCGAGAGTGTTCTAGGTAGGTTATTGAAAAACCATTTAAACTGAATCTAAATGTCATAAAGCAATCTAAATTCATCAAGCATCACCTCACTTCTTCTTTACAAGTAGTTTTCATGTAACATCAATTTAAAGCTCAAATCAGACAAAGCTATAATGTTTACGCAAATTCAATTAAAATAGTACATCACAGTTAAGGTGAAGGAGAAGTTGAAAAAGCTATAGAGGAGCTTACTTGTTATGATAGAGATTGCAGGCTCAACGCAAGCTGGTAATATGTTGGTGAGAGAAACTTTCCCTGCCAGAAGGAAAAATGTGGAGTTATCCATCTTATGGTTCAAAAAAAGAACACTGAAACAAGGAAACAGAAAACAAGAAAATGCACACTTAAGCCTGCTAAAAACCTTACTATGGTTAGTGTTACCTCTTAAAAAATACCATAAGCATACCCATGCTTTTAGATACCACTTCATTACTTTGATAGTTTAGGTCTTTGTCTCTTGTTCATCTACGCTTTTCTGAGCTTTTCTAAGAGGTAATCTGCGCTTCTATGCTTTCGTCTTCCTTCCAGATAATCAGACAGTCCAAGGTCATTACCAGGAACGCTCTTAACTCCTCTCGAACTGCTAGGATGCGCAGTAATTTTTAATCTCTTTTTTCTGAAACCTGGAGCCACAATGTCAACACACCCCTGAGTGAGGTAGGATCCTTCCATGGTATCTGCTCCTGATATCTTCTTATGTGATGAACCTGTAACTTTTTTGCCTGCTGAGCTGTAGTTGGTAGTAGTTAACTTGCATCCCGGCTGAAGATTTATCCTTCCAATTCTGGATAATTTATTTAGAATAGGAAGTAAGCATTGAGGATAATTTAACTCTACATTTTGATTATATGTCTCATTCCAAAATGCAATGGATGCATCTGCGATAGAGGAGTGAGGATGATCAAGTGACATCTGGAGAAGAGAAGCTTGGATCCCAAGAAAGCGAGAATTGAAGATGATTGATGGCTGGCTTCTTCTTAAACAGTCTAATATCTTTGTACAAAGGCATTGAAGCTGATACATAATGCTGCTAATTTGTTGTATTTCACCACATCCGGCACTCCAGGATAGCCACTGAACAAGTGGTTCAGAGATCATCTGCAATATAACAAAACATCCAGTATTAAATCGAGTTACCCAACAAGAAGAAAAACAGTAAAAAGTCTCAACTGGAAATGTTTTACTGTTGGGTGCAATTCCTTTTTAATATTCCATTGTACTCAGGGCATCTCCTCTGTCAAATTGCACTTCATGCCCACTAATTATAATTTGGGCATACATTATCCCTACAGTTGGATATTTATTTCCTGTTCACCTCTCCTGAAACTTAAGTGAGCATCTCAAAGATGACTACATTAGTCATTCCCACTTCTATGTAATGCAATAAGTCCAAACTTCTTTAAGTACTAAATGACAATACCTCTTCCATCAGATCATGTTTTGCAATGCACGTTCTGCGGCAATCTTCACGTTCTGCGGCAATCTTCAGTACAATTTTATGCTCAAGGATGTAAAATACCTCCATCCTTATCTCCAACGTTAGCTCATACAATCATAGAAGTTATAAACTGATGTTGGTCTCCATGCAAGGCTATTCAATCAAAGTTGAACAGAAAGACATTCCTTGCTGTGTTATCTACTCGGACGAAATGTCACCATAGCTAGTAAGGCAATGTAAATATGTAGAGAAAAATTGTCTGATTTATGAACATAATATTTAAAATTGTGAAAAGAGTTTTATTAAAACTGGCTCTTTGCAAGAGGTTCCATCCTCCCACATCAATCCAAGCTTACAGAAAGTACTGGAATAATAATATTTCTTCATTTACTATCCTCTCATATTATTATCAAAGTGATATGGAATGAGACAGTGGTGAAATATGCAGTCAAAAATTTCAAAATTTGTAAGTACAAACCTCCATCAGCAGCAGAATATCGTGCTTTGAGCAGATATGGTCTATGAAAGAAGCCAAAGCAGCAAATACCCTGCTACTCATACAAAACAAGGGATATAAATAAGAATCAAGGAAATGACCAAAGAATAAAACAAAACAAAGTCAAAACATGATTCATTTTTTATAACAATATTTTAAACCAAAAATAAAAGAATAAAAAAAGAACAGGTGCAAATCATCATAGGATCTGCATTAACAGGGCAAATTGTTTACCTGCAAATTATCATATGATCTGCATGAGGATTTGTTTTCAAAATTTGTATTGCCATCATCATGAATCTGCATATAGTAAAAAAAATTTATCTTGGCTTCTTAAGAAAGCTGGAAGGTTTGTACCAGATCAGCAGAAATATTTACGCTAGTATTGTTTCAACTAAATCCACCAATCAACCTCCATCCAACAATAACTCAGAAAAATACCTGGCAACAAGACCCAAACAATTATTGCTGGGGCTGCCTTGATTTAGACTATTGTCCTCTTGGTTGATTGAATCTAATCCTGAAGCTTCTACACACAAGATCCCAGCATGTTTCAATATGCAAATGACAAGCTCGCCAAATACCAAGAAGAAACCAATTTTCTGAGAATTCGGTACTGATGAATGAGAACTGCATGGTTTTTCGATTTCAACGATCTTGTCCAGCACACTGATTAGCATCTGGGACAGGCCTTCTGAATAATTCTTTCTCAACAAAGGTCTATTCTGTGAGCACCTACTTAAAGAAACAAAAAGCAACTTCCACACTTCAATTGTAAGTTCCATCTCAATCTCTCTCTCTGTAGAAACAAGACATATATCTGAGCTATTGCTGGAACTTACGTAGACTGAAACCTCAGGGGAATATAAAAGTGCAACAACGGGGAAGCACAACAACTGATAAACCACAGTACAATTTTCACCATCAGAATCAAATTTCAGGAATGAGAGGCTTGCACTGTCAATGGTCTCCTGAAAGCCCCTAACGATGATTCTCCACATCATCAATGAGCAAAATATCCCAGATGAAGGCTTTCCCAAGTGCAAATAAAGAAAAGAAACGGCAGCATGCAAGTTGAGTAATGGACCTTTTGAAAAGAGCAAAAACTTCAAGTGCTTAACTGCACATGAAATGTCATCTGTCTGTGATAGCAACAAATTCTGAATAGATTGAGCCATTAGGCAAAGGTCCAAAATTGTAGTATAAACTATTGGGCAAACCATGCCCTTGTGCACAAGAGAGGATATCTTCAGACACTCAACCGCTATACTTTTCGCGCTCTCAGATATTTGTATTTCACTGATGTACTTCAGATCTAAACTGACATGATAAAGAGGAGATGCAAAAATTGACGAATCTAGCTCTACGCTAGCTTCCATAAACTGAAATGCTATCAATAAGAAATCTTTACCCTGCTTATCACAATATCTTGAGACTATATCTTCAGACAACTCCTTCAAGAAAATTAAAATAGTGGTAATGCAAAACTGGATCCTGTCATAACTTATTGACAGCATTTTGAGTTCAACTTCAACTCCCTGTAATACTGATCTGAAGAGCCTCAAGGAATAACTGAAAGCCAACTTTCTATTCTCAGAGGTCATTGCTATAATCAAACCTTGCCTAAGAACCAGAGAAATTGTTTTCAGATAGAAATCCAAATTGCAAATGTCCCAAGGAAGCCACTTGATTGGATAATCCTTGAATGTGCCTTTATTATTAACAAATATATGGCTTAAAGACTTTTCAGCAGACAGTTTGTGCTTTCCAACCCTTACTTTTGATAGAATATGATCATCAAGCAATTCAAGGCATGAGGTCCATAAAGAGGTGCTTTGCATGCTACCAAATCCCCTTGAAAGTCCCGATTCAAGAATTGGCCAAAAAGAAGTCATTAGGACTGATGGATGGTTAACTGAAATACCAAGTTTATGTAGAAGATAATGCCACGTTTTCAGGCAAGATGAATGAACAGAGATGTCACGTCTACTTGATATAATGCCTTTTAAAGGCACCACTAGGACCTTTATCCTTCTCACTAGACCATTAGCTTTATCACTATAATTCATCTCACGATCTATCTTTTCAGAAGGGAGGAAAGCATCAATCAACTGCTCCCATGCAACCTGCATTCTTAAGACAATCAATTATGGTGCACTAAGTTCATCAATTTTAGGTCTAAATACTTTTCTGGCTTACCAAAGATGCAATCTGATGCTGTGGATCTGGCTCTGTAAATGTCTCTTCAGGTATTTTCAGCAGTCCATTGATAAGATGCCTATTCTTCAATGAGCTGGAACCAAGTAAACAGATATACCATCCCCATGCTTGGATCAAGGGAAGTTTCTGCCTGAAGCCATGCATCATATCCAACATAGTTGGTAGCAACCTTTTCTCAAGATCCAATGCGATGACCTGATCAGTCATAATGGACAGAGGGGAAAAAATCAACATTGACCCTACTATATTAAGTAAAAAGAAGAAGCAACACAGGAAAAACAAACTGTAGAATTAACCACACCACTGAATTCAGTATCTTGCATAAAAAACCATATGAAATCTCTTAACCACTCGATCAAGACTGAAACAAGGATCATTTTGCTTGCATATGTACTGTACAATGCCACAAAGAGTAGCGAATTTCACTATCTTCCTACTGGTCCGGGTAGGTCTGCGTCCATTGTGGGTAACAGGACAAGCCTGAAGCTAAGTGACTTTCTTATGATTTTATCCATAACCTTAGGTACAGGATAATCCATTCAACCCCTAAGCCAATCACTAGAGTTCAGAAGTTTTACACATGAAAGGTGCCTGAATGAGAAAGATTGAGAGGAAAGCAGCTGAGTTATAAAAGAAAACGAGCCACCTGCAAATATTAGTAGAGACATGAAGCAGAAGCTGGTGAAGAAAGGACACAAATAGAGTGGACCAAAGGAGACAGGTACAGAACATCAGTAGACAGATAACTGAATAGCAGAAACAGTAGGTACATGACAGAAAGACTTCAATACTTACTGACGCAATTCAATGTAGATAAATAGAAAATTTCTGGAAGGAAGTACACTGACCATTTCTATTACATAACTTCTCAATTCCCTAGATAATTCTCTGAAAATGAAATGAATCATGAAGGGTGCTTGCGGACAAGAACAACAAGATTGGCCATAATGGTAACCGATCTAACACCCCAACTTAACGTTTAAGCAGTTTCATCAAAAGTTTTAAAAGATGAGTAACTTTAAACAGATGGGTTAAAATGCCAAAACGTTTATTTATTTTTTCAAAGAATAGAGAGAAAATATTAGATATCATCCTAATATGATATTTCACAATTACTTAGCGTATAAATATCTTGAGTTTTAAGACCATTACATAAAAGATGTCATATTATGGCTATTTGTGAGAATTGTTAGAAAAGAGATTGAACAAATACCACAAAGGAATTTTACTTAGGTATCATTTCATTTTGAACTGCCTGTCCATCCATGACAGGAAAACAGGTAGCATCACATGACAAGAGCCAAAACCCAAGACATGTTTTTGCGCTTGCATGAGATTTAAAGATTAGCACCTCTACATATTTCAAGCCAGGTTTATCAGTCTGCTCATTTATTATCAAATCTTGCCAGACGACCATTATACTAAATTCATGATCTAGTCTTCGCTCTTTTTCCCCATGTTGTCTAATCACCAAGAAGTAGGGAAACAAGTCAAAATAGTATTATACATTTAACCACATAGGTTTGGTTCCCACTCGACATAATTGAAACAGGGAAGAGAAAGATCAACCAACTTAATACTTTTCAAAGTGGCTTCATCTTTCCTTCTTACTTGAAAGTTCAACAATTCTCATTGCTATAGCCACAAACTTTTATATTACCTCAAATTACGGAAGTTAGTAGGCTACTTTCTCTTAGGGAGTGCCCTGCCCAACCAAAACTCATAACTTGGACTGATCACTCACCATGAATCCACCAATTACACGAGTAAAAAAGGTTGATCAAAAGACTTTACAAGTTAGTGCTGAGGAAGCGGGGGGATGAACTTTAATTCTAAACCAGTGACATGAGAAAACCAGGAATTTAGAAATCTATCTGCATTTGACCCACCCATAAGAAGTGTAAGTGAAGTGAATAGGGAACTCAAGTTTAAAAGGTGTCCAAAAAGAACACTGTTGAATTCGAAGAAGAAGAAATCAAAGGAAGATTTTATAAAGAAAAAAAAATTACTCTAGACATCACAATCAACCAACAGTTGAACTTCTGTTTCTAGTAAGGATAAAAACTTAAAGAGGTTATATATTGGCTAGAAAAAATTTTAAAATGTGATTTAGTTTTATGGTAGAGATGTCGTAAGCCTCTTTTTTTGCTAATACTTCTATGCTATTACTCATTACTGCCCGAGTATTTAGATATATGCTACTTCAGTGAGTTGAATTGTTTAGGCTTTCCTGGATTCACTAGAAGGGCAAAATTATGATTACATTGTCCGAAACAAAACAAAACAAAAAACATAAACTTGTTTTAGGCCTGTGAAGCTATAAAATAATTGCATGATCTAGATCATTGAGATGGGATGCCAAAACTCCAATCCGTCATCTTTTTTCTTGAAGCCTTGACGGTATTGGAAGTTGGAAGGACCCCACTTTATGTTTGAATCAAATAGCAAACACATAGAAGGTTATACAGAAAAGGATTCTCTCTCACATAATAAATGAGGGGTATTAAGACAGAAAGTTCAATAATTTTGCAAGTAGAGTATCTGCCCACCATCTGACTTCACCTAAATCCATATTTTCTAATAATGAAAGCAGTCAAATTTTGGATGCAATAGAAGATATTGTTTTTTCATGTCTTCTATTGTAAACTCCCCGAGCATTGAAGTGAAGAAAACTGATAATAACCTATATTTAATCTAATGGGTTAGTGGGGACAAATGCAGGAGGTCATAAAAATAAACTCTGGTAGTTGCGAGAATCTGGACGCTTTTTAGGGCATTTTGGCTTGTGGATTGAGGAACCAATACAGTTACTTAGTGACTACTTGAGGAAATTATTTTATAACCTTCAGCTCTAGCAGATCTTTCATCGTCATCTCACCAATCAGAATGCCAACAACAGGTTTATCTTTATTGAACTGTTCCTGACATTCTTTGCATCACTCACAAGAAACTTTTTGTCTGAGAAAGTAAAGAGGATTTCTTTTTAAGAAAAGAGAGTAAAAATACAAATAGAATTGACTGAGTCGCAATTAAATGTAATCATAGTGAATGAAAAATGGCCAAAACTGTTGCCAGCATTACTGCACAGTTTACGGCGTTAAAAATATATATATTGGAGCAAATAAGAAAAATTGAGTTCTGATCCTGTTTTACTGAAAAGGACGCTTCATCTAAATTTCAGTAAACATAGAAAGGATAGGTTTAAATTTTAAACTTCAAACACCTATGACACTACAAAATCAGCAACAAGAAAAGAAAATAGGATATTAAAATGTACGCCTTCTTTAGCATGAAACTAAGATTTCAATATTTTTCGGGAAGGTCCATTATATTTAAAAAGATCACTCAACTATTCAAGTAACATACACCCAAAAAGAACCGTAAAAGTTTGCAATGGTTTGGATATATCCTATCAAATATTATACAAGAAAGAACAGCATATCAAGTACCTTTGAAAGAGTTAATGTAGGAGGACAAATGAAGGACTTCGTCTTCGCGAGGCACCTTTCTGCCATATCTCTTTCTTTCTTGTCATTGCTAACAAGTCTTCTATATATTGGTGGAACCCACATGTTTGAGCTATCTCTCATTTTTTCACAGAACTGAGCAGCCATTTTCATTACAGCCTTTAAAGACAAACCAAAGGAGTTACAAATGATCAATAGTGATCTAATTTGAGTACAACAGATATAAAATGTGATCCAAGATTACTACATAATTGCAAATTTTAAAAATGATAAGCAAAAGGGATTCACAATGATTCAATAAAAAATGCCAAACATATTCTAAAATATTGTTCAAAGAAGGAAACCTAGAAATTTTTAACGTTCAACAAAGGCAGTGACATATACATCATAATAAGATTATCAAATTAGGTACTGAAAATCTAGAACGGCCTCACCAATCATGCATGCACAATGAAATCATGTACTCAGTTGCAAGGAATCCCCAAAACTACAGAGAGAAAGTACCTGAATTGCTTCAAATGTGGTTGATAGAGACCCAAAAGGATTATCAAGGGCATGAACAACAGCCCGCAACAGCAAATCTATCCGCGGTCTAACAACCTCTTTACCCAACTGATGAATTGAGATGCACCAAACTCCCAAGTTACAAATAGCCTGAAGGGAAAGAAAACATCTCACATCAACAATAAATTCCATAAACCAGTGAGTGTGACATAAAAATAAACAGCTTACCTTCATTCGTGTTTCAATTATTAACATAGCCAATGCCTCTAAAACTGACCCAGCAACCTCCTCTACAAAATAAACCCACCATCAAAATTCAAAAAACTTACAACTTTACAAATAAAAAAAGCCTTCTTTAGATATTCGTTCCTCAAAACTTTCTTATTGTTAAATCAGTCCTTCAAATCATTGGGATTGTTATTTAGACCTCTAATTAATATAAGTTATTTCAAATCCATTCCTGTGGTAAGCTCCAGTGTAAATTGCAGACAATATTGCATTAAAATTCATTTTTTTTGACTGGGTTTTCAGTTGTGTCCCCCAAACCAAACCCCTCTTCTTTTACATAACCCATTTTACGTAAGAGAGAGGAAAATTTGTGACCGTAGGAGGTAATTAATGAAATTAGCTGGTAACCAAGCGTGTTAAGTGGACCACTAACCAAAACATAGTTAAGATTTTCAAACTATTAGAGGGATTAATTTGAAGTAAATGATATAATAACAATTTCAATATTTTAAGGACCAGTATCTAAAAACCCCAGAAACGAAAAAGGAAATAAAAAAGAACAAACCTGAAAAGATTGAGACAAGAGAAGGGTGATAGAGCATGAACCCTAGACATTTGAGAGCCAACGCAGCGCTGCAAAATAGAAAGAGTTAAGGATTTCTGCGTAAATATTGAGGATTGGGGTTTTGGTGTTTGCTTACATTTCTTCGTCATGGAGGTTGATGTCGGAGAGGAGAAGGGGGATGAGAGGAGGGGAGGAGAGGGAGAGGGACTCCATTGACGAGGGGTCGTCGGCGGAGGAGCGGTGGAGGTGGAGGAGGGTCGAGTAGGCCAGAGATCGATCCGGTGAGCTTATGATGGCTACGATCTGCTGCTTGATCCTGGAGTCCGCCATTTTTGAGGGTTTGAGAGAGAGAGAGAGAGAGAGAATTTTCTTTTAGGGCTTGTTTGGATTGAGTGGAATGAGGGTGAAGGGAAGTTAGGGGAACCATTCACTTTGTTTGGGAATACTTATGAGGTGAAGTTAATTCACCTCCATTCACCTTGGTTCACCCCCTAATAGTATAAAAATTGTTACCCCCCAAATTGGGGTGTAACCAAGGGGAAGGGAATTCCCTTCCCTTCCCTTCCTTTCCCTCCCCTTCCCTTCACTCAGTTTTCCTTAACTTCCCTTCACCCCCTACGAATCCAAACAGGCTCTTAGTTAAGTTCGCGCCAGAAAATAGGGGAAGAGAGAATCTATATCCATTGTGCCTCTCATGGAAAACACTATCAAGCGTGGAAGAGCTTCAATTTCCCCACGAATTTTGGGAAGTTTTGCACTTTAACCCCTGAACTTTTATTCACCAAGCCACCCTGAACTTAGGGGCGTCCCACAAGATTTTCTCTGTGAACCCCGCTAATGGTGTTATAAAAAGATCTAAAGCCTTGTTTGGCAAACTACTGAAACTAGGTCAGGCTCAATTCTGGTCCAGTTTTAGTATCTTTCTATGATTTGTAAAAGTTGGGTTAGATCTGGCCAAATTGTTTTTAGTTCATCTTCGAGACTTTTAACCATGCTAGAATTGAACTAGCCCCTATCTGATTCAATTATGGCCTGATTAAAAAATAAAATTAGGCTGGCCCAGTTTGGAGAGATTTGCCAAACAGGTCCTAATATTTACCTTTATAATTAAGCATGTTTAGTTGGTTTCTTAGAAATCAAAGAAAAGAAATTGAGAGAGGGAAAAAATTAGAAGATGGTTTTCGCCCATTTCGTAAGAAAAAAAGAAAGAAATGAGTTTTCTAAAAATGAGTCATATCATCCCATAAGATAGCAATACTTTA